CAGACGGCCCTGCCTTTGACTTACAATCAATTTTTTACTTTTTGTCATCAACTTTCCTTACTGTACCAACTTTGACACATAGCCCTTAGCGTCTCCTCGCCTTTTCTCCCTCACCTCCGATCCCCTCTCCACCTAGCTGTTTATAGCCTCAACACAATTTTCTGCCCTGCAGCGCTGTATGACCCTTGTCGGTTTAGTGCTTTCTTTGATTATTATAATCTAAAAGCCCTTGTGGCTTAGCGCTTCTTTTGATTATAATAATAATAATAATAATTATAATCTAAATCAGATGAGCACAGTTACAGGTACTAGTCAGTACTGGAACAAGTCACCTCTTCCAACCTATACTGTACACAATTTTCTAGGGCCACTTTACTAACAGATCCATGTAGCTCACTGGTTAGTGTTTCTAAATTTCAAGGCCCTGGGTTCAATTCCCTGACATATTTGGACAAGTTTATTTCATACCTGCCCACCAAACCACAAAAACAGATACTTATGTGTTAACAAAATTTGTTACTTATCTAAACTGCCTCAAGAAAACAAGAAAGAATTCATTTCGCCTGCATGACGAGACATCGATAAAAACCTAAAACTAGCTCTAGGTTTCCATTGATTGGCAGAGAGCTAAATGACAGTAATAATATCGATAAAGATATCAACATTTTTTACATAAAACCCTAAACCTCTACAACAAATATTGCCCAGTCAAAACGAAACAGATCACAGAAGAGGCTAAACAGCCCATGGGTAACTAGAGTATCCTCAAAACTATTAATAAAAAACACCAAATTGGGAAAAGCAGTTCAGATTAGGCTTAATTACTAAAAGATACACATCAATTTCTAACAAAAACTAATTTCGCAAATCATAAGCAAATGTATTATGAAAATAGCTTTAGTGAAATGAAAGGTGACATGAAAAGTACCTGGCAAACCCCTCCAAAATATTTGGGCCAAACAAAACTGAACTGGAAATAGAGAGATACACTTAACAAACCAGATGAACCTTGCATGCAACCTACACACACAGCCAACAAATTTAATGTCTTCTTCTCTACTGTAGGATCAAAGCTAGCGAGCCAAATTCCTAGCTCAAATAGCCATCCGAGCAAGTAACTCGCTGGCAACTACCCAAACACACTATTCCTAGCTCCAACTAATCCCACTGAAGTCTCACTCATCATTAAATCATTAAAAAACAAATCAGATGATCTAGATAACTTGCCACCATTCACAAATAAAAAAAGCTGCACCAGAACTGTCGCCCATCATTGCAACAATGTTTAACAAATCTATAGCTTCCTCAACCTTCCCATCCATACTCAAGACAGCAAGGGTCACCCCAATCCACAAAGGTGGAGATCCAACTGATTTGAACAATTACAGACCCATATCAAACTTGCCCTTACTATCCAAGCTATTTGAAAAAATAATACACAAGCGACTTTACTCCTACCTTACATTCAACAACATAATTAACCCATGCCAGTTTCAATTTAGACCAAAAAAAAAACACGAATGATGCTATTATACAAATGCTTGACCTAATATACACAGCTCTCGATAAGAATGAGTATGTTGTGCAAGAATGGTATATAATACCGACAAGATGAAATTAAGACACATGTGCAACATCTGGGTACCGTTATTGTAGACGTTTCGCCATCCAGTGGCTTTATCAATACAAATTCTAAGACATAGCTTGAAGACAGTAGGACTATATACAGAAGATGAGGTAATCAGTCCCTCAACCTAAGAGTAGGTGCGAAGAACACCTACTTTGTATTGATAAAGCCACTGGATGGTGAAACGTCTACAATAAAGATACCCAGATGTTGCACATGTGTCTTAATTTCAAGAATGAATATCCCCTGGGGCTCTTTGTCGACCTAAGAAAAGCGTTTGACACAGTTGACCACAATCTCTTGCACCTCAAACTGAATCATTATGGCATAAGAGGACATTCTCTTGACTACCTAAAATCCTATCTTAATGACAGACATCAGTATGTACATGCAAATGGAGTCAACTCCGCTATCTAACCTGTAGATGTAGTGTCCTACGCCCACTCCTCTTTCTCATCTACATCAATGATCTCCCCAATGCATCCTAACTCCTTACACCAGTTCTATTTGCAGATGACACTACATATGTCTACTCCCATTCAGACCCAGTTGTGCTTGAAAACACTGTAAACAATGAACTGCTAAAGATATATGCTTGGATGATGACCAACAAACTCACACTTAACATAGAAAAAACTTACTTCATGCTGTTTGGCAACAGAGCCTCAAATATTCAACTCAACATACTGTTAAATGGTTCCCCTATATCAAGACACATGGAGGGCAAATTTCTAGGTCTTCTCCTTGACTGTAATCTTAAATTTCAGTCCCATACCCATCACATAGTCAAGAAAATTTCCAAATCAGTAGGAATCCTTTCCAAGATATGCTATTATGTACCACAAACGACTCTCCTTACCTTGTACCACTCTCTAATATATCCTTGCCTCACCTATGGTATCTGTGCCTGGGGCTCTATCACAGCCAACCACCTTAGACCCTTAATAATCCAACAAAAAGCTGCTGTGCAGGTGATAACCAGCTCCTGTGCTAGACAGCACACCCCAGCACTTTTCAAAAGACTCAACTTGCTAAATATACAAGACATACGCTCTTATTATTGTGCCTACTACATATACAGAACTTTAAACTCCACTGTAAAGCCCCCTCTAAAACTACTCCTCGACAGTTACAACAGAATGCAAAGTCACAATACAAGGCATAAGGCCCTTTTCAACATCCCTCGAGTAAAGCTCTCACTATGCAAGAACGCTATGCACATAAAAGGCCCAAAGATCTGGAACTCGCTACCGGAACAAGTCAAGGATCCCCAGACAACTTATAAATTTAGGACTCGGCTAAAAAATCATCTTATCGCACAATATTAACCAAATCAACCAAACATCTACTGGCTAGTTTTATCATGTGACCTCCTGCCTTTTAATTCTGCCATTCCATAAAATATTACCACCTGCACCATTCCTTGTAAATTAGATTTTGTACTAAGTATACATAAGATTAAGTCCAAACAAGATTGTGAAACAGCTAACCACTATTCTATGTTTAGTTTTAAGTAATAATTACTATGTACTATTATCTTATCTAGTTTTAATTAGTTACTATGAATTAGGATTAGTTTGCCCGAAATGCCTCGGCATGATAGTGGCTATCTTTGTACTTAGCAAATCAAAATTGTAATTACACATTGTAACCTTGACAAAGAAATAAACTTATTATTATTATTATTATTATTATTACATACAGGAAAAAATGTGTTGAACCATAGAACTGAGTGGAAAAAGGTGGGTGATGCACTGAGGCATCTGTGGAGACAAAGAATGTTATTCATGGATGCAAAAAGGGGAATGTATGAAAGTAGTGGTACAACACTTGTATGAGTGTGAAGGATAGGTTGTGAATGTTGCAAAAAGGAGACTGGAAGCAGTGAGATGTCATTCATATCTGAGGCCAATGTGTGGTGTAAATATTATGCAGAGAATTCGTATCTTGACAATTAGGAGGTGCAGGGTTACTAAAAGTATTATCCAGAGGGCTGTGGAGGGATGACTTGGAGGGTGTATAACTCTGTATGGAGGGAAGGCAGAGTAGAGGTTGCTCTAGGAAAGGTTGGAGGGACGGGGTAAAGGCTTTTCATGCGAGGGGCTTAGACTTCCAGCAAGCGTACATGAGCATGTTAGATAGGAACGAGTGGAGGTAAATGGTTTTTTGGGACCTGACGAGCTTTTGGAGTGTGAGCAAGGTAACATTTTCTGAAGGAATTAAGGAAAACCAGTTATCTGAATTCAAGTCCTGGAGATGGGAAGTACAATGCCTACACTCTGAAGGGTGGGGATATTTGCAGTTTGGATGGGCATCTGAACTGTACTGTCTGTGCTCTGGCAAGACAGTGATGGAATGAACGAGGTGAAAGTGTTTATTGGGTTACCCGACATCAGTGGGAGATGGCCAGTGTGTTCGACAGGAGTGAATAGAGACGAACAGTTTTTGGGACTGAGCTGTTATAGTGAGAGCAGGGAATATTTTGTGAAGGGATTCAGGGAAACTGGTTAGCCAGACTCGAGTCCTGGAAGTGGGAAGTACAATGCCTGCACTTTAAAGGAGGGGTTTGGGATATTGGCTGTTTGGAGTGACATCTTAAACTGTTGTATCGGAGCACCTCTGCAAAGACAAGTGATTATATATGAATGATGGTGAAAGTTTTTTCTTTTCTTTTTGGGTCACCTTGCCTCAAAGGGAAATGGCCAACATGTTAAATAAAAAAAAAAAATTATCTATGATGCCTTGATTCCTTTATGAATTCAAAACACCTGTAAAAATTTCAATAAATTCAACATTCAATTTTGGTTATAAAGGTATCTCAGATTTCATTCAAAGTTGCAGCAAATACACTAAAAAGAGGGTGTATAAATCTGGGGTGGTAGGTAGTAGCAGAGATCATCCTAGGAACAGCTGGATGGAAGAGATGAAAGAGGCCTCGTGTTTCACTGGCTTAACCATCAAGTAGGCTTTTGTGAGCATATTAGGCAAGTGCTGTATGGCCCTTGTGAGTTTAGCACTTAGTTATGATTTTAATGTTAGATAAGTGTGGCTGGAGTGCACATGAGGTAACTTTTATGAAAAGATTTAGGGAAAACCAGTTAGCTGGATTTTAAGTCTTGGGGGTGGAAAGGGTAATGCTTGCACTCTGAAGGAAGGATGGGGATGCTGGAGGTGAAGGGTATCTGAATTGTGATAGTGGCACACTTCTGGAAAGGGCAACTGAATGAACAATGGTGACTTGAGTTTTCTTCTTTGAGACATCTTCCCATGGTGGAAAACAGCTGGTGAGATTAAAAAATATAGCTACATAGTAACTGCCAGATGATTTGAGTAATCAATGAACATGAAAGTTGGAGGGCACATAAAGAATGGATAAGAATTAACAAATTTGTATATTATATACATAAAGACGTACCAAAAAATAGTTACAAGTGTCAGAAAACCAAAAGTTCATAAATGCCAAAATATATATTTGTCAGACTTTTCATTAATTTAGTGCATCAATGCTCATGATCCAAGGAATTGGAGTTATCCTCCCTCCTTCAATCAAATGTAATTCATGCATTCCAGAGGCACTATGTGTTCTTTATGGGTCGAGTTCTTATTCCATGAATAAAATACAGTATTAATAAAATATGTTAAACAATAAAAAAAATGTTACAGGTTTCCCTTGCTTAATGCAGTATCACTTTATGTGAATTTGCTTTCGTGAGGTGATCCCATTTCTACCAGCAATTTGCTGCATGGAATATAAATTTGCTCGTGTTCTCATCCACACCTAGCACTATTTGATTTTTAACTATATCATTATTTCTCAACTGGCTTATACTGACAAAAGAAAGCATCATAAAGGCTTACTGGCCAGCAATATTCAAGTCCTACTCTTCCCATCCATTCCCACTAATTGCACAACTCTTGATAAACTATTTGCTTCCTAAATAAGAAAAAAAAGGAGCATTGCATTAAGCTTACTATTTGGAAACAAAATGCTTTCCATAAGAATAAAGAACCACGGTGGTAGACCAGCAGGTCCTACTCTCAGTTAATCATACACAACTCGATTATTAAACACAAACAAAGGAGCACTATAATCAGCTCATATTACATAGCGTACAAAGGCTTATGTAGGTCCTACTTTCGCCCAACCATTTCCTCCCCACATTCCTTTTCTTTTATTTTTCTACCCAAATATATAACTGGATAAATACAGAATTTGAATGTCTCAGAACACATTTGTGTTTTACATGTCGAACTGGGTTTGCTTTATGTGATTTCAGTTTATGCGCCAGGAGCCTGGAACTAGTCTATCACAAAGTGAGGGACACCTGTATATACAATTAAACCCTGAAGTGTACATCTTTATGAATTAATTTTCTATAGATGATCTATAAAATAGTCATTCTGAAGATTACAGAACACTTAACATCAAAAAACAAAATTAAAATCTATCTCTAACTTTTTCTGCAAATGCCTTGAGGTTGCCATAGACTTTTGACGGAGGACTCCCTGGAAATACAAAGTTTCATTAAATTGTTTACAAGTGATGTAGATATAGTAATTAGAGACATATGTCACATTGTTTTTGGTTTGCAAAACAGAAAATATTACAAAATCCTTACCAAGAATCAAATTACAAATTGCCCTTCTAGCAATCTGAATATTCTGGTATGAACCCAATATATGAACACGAGAATCGGCCAATACAATACGAGTCCGCGTAGCATTTTCTATGGTGAAGCGAGTCTTGCCACCTTTACCAGCCACTCTACCAATTGCTCTTGAGAGGTGGTCACCTTGGAGAGTTTGCTTCACTGTAGATTTACAATACAAAAAATCAATGTCAATAATATATTTCAGCAATTTTAACTGCCTACTTGTTTGGGCCTGAACTGTAAATCGCAAAGTGGAGCCAACATTATGATTAAGGAAACATCTGACACTGTATTCTGATATAATTGCCACATTTCTTATACAGGTCCGCCATCACAAATCCGGCAATTGGTTATTCGGTTCCTTCAGTTATTCGGCACTAATTTTGGCTAGCATAATTTCAAATTTCCAGGGTCACCACACCAACCTGCTGGTACTGTTTGGTGGCACTACTTGCTGCATAAGTCATTCCAATTTCTTTTTCTCCATTTATTGTTTTAACATGCTTACTGTTAGCCCTAGCCATGGTTCCAATGAATAAAAGAAATGCTTCTCATTATGTAAAGCACCTACACAGTACATTACCCAATAAAGATAAGGTGGCTTTGAAGCCACTGTCGGATGCCATGAGCTCAGTCTCATGAAGCAGGAGAATATGCTTTATTATTACGCTAATATTAACACTACAGCTTATTTGCCTATCACAATTGATCTAATATGACATAATAAAGAATATAAATAACATAAAACATGTTAAATACTGCAGAATAAATAATATTTGGCATAACACCGAGCAGTTCGACGGAGGTATGAAGAGGATATGGTATACAAGTACCATTCTCCTATCCCTGTCTTGGGGTCTTATATTAGAGAAAACGGAGTATAGCACAGGGCTAACTGTGATATACACTCGTACTGCACCATAAACCTAAAACAAAAAAAGTTATTTTCTCTATATAGATTATCACACATAGCAGCATATGTGTAGAGAACCTAGGATAACCCAAAAATGTCAACATGGCTTATTTTTAGTACCTGGCTTGGGTTAGCCATATATGATTTTTGGTAAATATTTGATTCCCAGCCAGGGTAGAAACATTAGGCATGTTTCTTTACACCTGTTGTCTATGTTTACCCATCAGTAAATGGGTACCTGGGTGTTAGCCGACTAGTGTGGGTGTTATCCTGGGACACTGATCCAATTTTCTTGAAATACTCTGCATAACAAGCGGCTTTCTATAAACACCTACCATCCGACTTACGACCTGCTCAACTTACGACCACTCAACTTACGACCGTGTTTTTTATGCCAAATTTCCAGGAAATAAACAACTATTTGTTTTGTCGACAGTGTTTATCCTAAACCTTACAGTATAAAATACAGTACTAACAACATAAAAAGTAAAGTAAAACATGAAATACCAAAATAAAACAATAAAATAAAGTCGTTACAAAAATGTTTTGTTGATATTCAGTAGTAAAGTTCGACTTACGACCATTTCGACTTACAACCGGTTTCTCAGAACCGAACTCGGTCATAAGTCGGATGGTAGGTAGTAGTATGTCACTGATGTTAGGCCTGTATACCTTGTACATGTACGTGTAGTAAATAAAGATATTATTATTATTATTATATTATTTTCTCAGTTGTTTGTTGGGTTACCTTATTCAAACTTGGGCAATGTATGATGGAAAGATACTTCTTAACGTACACCAAAAATGAAAGAAATCAGACCATAAATAGCGGAGTTCACTTCTCAACCATTAGCGGCCGCTTAGCGGTATACAGTGGACCCTCGACTAACGCTATTAATCCGTTCCTGAGAGCTCATCGTTAGTCAAGTTAATTTTCCCCATAAGAAATAATGGAAATCAAATTAATCCGTGTAGGACACCCCAAAATATGAAAAAAAAATTGTTTTTACCACGTGAAATATTAATTTTAATACACACAAACTAAAGAAGACATGCACAGTTACATGACACTTACCTTTATTGAAGATCTGGTGATGATTGATGGGATGGGAGGAGGGGAGAGTGTTGATGGTCTTAGTGTTTAGAAGGGGAATCCCCTTCCATTAGGACTTGAGGTGGCAAGTCCTTTTCTGGGGTTATTTCCCTTCCCTTTAAATCTCTCAAACCAACCTTTGCTGGCCTTAAATTCACTCACATCACCACTAGTTGCTGGCATTTTTTTAATTAAATCGTCATGCAACTATCTAGCCTTTTCACATATGATCGCTTGAGAGATGCTATCTCCTGATATCTGTTTTTCGTTTATCCACACCAATAACAGTCTCTCAACATCTTCGAGTACTTGCGATCTCAGTTTCGAAAACATAGTTGCACCTTTGGCAAGAACAGCTTCCTTGATTGCCATTTTCTTGGCCACAATAGTAGCGATGGTTGATTGGGGTTTTGTGTACAACCTGGCCAGCTCGGAGACACGCACTCCACTTTCATACTTAGCAATGATCTCTTTCTTCATATCCATAGTAATTCTCACCCTTTTTGCTGTAGGGTTGGCACTAGAAGCTTTCTTGGGGCCCATGGTGACTTATTTTGCAGGTTTTTTTTTTTTCAATAAGTCGGCCGTCTCCCACCGAGACAGGGTGACCCAAAAAAGAAAGAAAATCCCCAAAAAGAAAATACTTTCATCATCATTCAACACTTTCACCACACTCACACATTATCACTGTTTTTGCAGAGGTGCTCAGAATACAACAGTTTAGAAGCATACACATATAAAGATACACAACATATCCCTCCAAACTGCCAATATCCCAAACCCCTCCTTTACAGTGCAGGCATTGTACTTCCCATTTCCAGGACTCAAGTCCGACTATATGAAAATAACCGGTTTCCCTGAATCCCTTCACTAAATATTACCCTGCTCACACTCCAACAGATCGTCAGGTCCCAAGTACCATTCGTCTCCATTCACTCCTATCTAACATGCACATGCACGCTTGCTGGAAGTCACTAAAAAAGGCTGTGATAATATGAAATGTTCCGATTGTATGCTTGGAAGCGACCGCGGTGGCTGGCTGGCTTGTAAACACTGGCCAGAAGTGGACGCGTCTCAGACGGAACGAATAGTGTTGGTCGAGTTTTTTAGCGCTAGTCGAGGCAAAAATTTTGCGTTAAAATGTATCTCTAGTCGGATTTATCGTTAATCGATGCCATCGTTGGTAGAGGGTCCACTGTATTTTTGTATGTTTTTTATAGTTATATTCTCATTTATTCGGTCTCATTTGACAGAATGAAAGATATATTACAGAAATAGATATGATTTTGATTGCTTTCATGACGAAAAGTACCTTGAAATTGCGCTCACAGTAGCAAAAATGTTCTATTCTTTAGCGAAGCTCAAGAGTAAACAAATGACGTCACCGTCCAATACCTGTCTGCCTGACAGTCCAAATTCCAATACGGAGTCGAGAATGGGTTGATATTATTTATACAATTATTAAAATAATGCAGCAGTCTGCATAACAGTAAATCTTCTATTTTTTTGTGAATAAAAATTCCAATTGGTAAGAAAGAGTAATATAAGAGGGGCCTGTAGTCGTGGCTAATGAACAGAGAAAATGTTATTTTAGTGCCAGGAATGTCTGCATTGTTTATTCTGGATCCTATTTTGAAATTGGCATCTGTTGAAATTTGTGTGAAATCGGCCAAATTGCCAATTTCTGACCACTTTATTGGGTAGTTGAAATAAGTGAATGGGCGGTTTCTTGTACTCAGTTGACAGACTAGAAGTAAATAAGTTTATTCAGGTATACACAAATACAGTTACATAGATTATCATACACAGCAGCGCATGTATAGAGAACCTGGGATAACCCAGAAAAGCCAGACAAAGTGACTTATTTCCAGTACCTGGCTTGGGCTTGCCATATATGATTTTTGGTAAATATTTTTTTTTTCCCGGTTGTTTGTTGGGCTATCTCATTGAAACTTGGGCAATGTATGATGGAAAGGTGCTTCTTAACGTACAACAAAAATAAAAAAGATGGACGATGAATAAGGGAGTTCATTTCTCAGCCATTAGCCGCCTCTTTGCAGTATATTTTCGTATGGTTTTTATGGTTGTATTCTCATTTTTTTTTTTCTAGGTAGTAGGTTGGTAGACAGCAACCACTCAGGGAGGTACTACTGTCCTGCCAAGTGAGTGTAAAATGAAAGCCTGTAATTGTTTTACATGATGGTAGGATTCCTGGTGTCCTTTTTTGTCTCATAAACATGCAAGATTTCAGGTACATCTTGCTACTTGTACTTACACTTAGGTTGCACTACACATACATGTACAAGCATATATATACACACCCCTCTGGGTTTTCTTCTATTTTCTTTCTAGTTCTTGTTCTTGTTTATTTCCTCTTATCTCCATGGAGGAAGTGAAACAGAATTCTTCCTCCATAAGCCATGTGTGTTGTAAGAGGCGACTAAAATGCCGGGAGCAAGGGGCTAGTAACCCCTTCTCCCATATAAATTACTGAATTTAAAAAGAGAAACTTTCGTTTTTCTTTTTGGGCCACCCTGCCTTGGTGGGATACGGCTGGTTTGTTGAAAAAAAAAAACACAAAAAAAATTCTCATTTTTTTGGACTCATTTGATAGAATGGAAGATATATTACAGAAATAGACATGATTTTGATTGCTTTCATGATGAAAAGTGCCTTGAAATTGAGCTCAAAGTAGCGGAAATGTTCGATTTTTGCCGATGTTCAATGAACTTTGTGTAAGTCAAGCTGGTTAATTTTATTAAGTGTATTTTAACCTAACCCCTCTGTAATCCGGCAAACTCAGTAATCCGGCACACTACAGGTTCCAATGATGCCGGATTTGTGATGGAGGACCTGTATTGTATTTCAACATAAGGAACATTTTAAACACAAAAACTAAATATAACACAACAACAATTTTGAGAACATTCTCAATTTTCAGAGGGCATGTAAAAATAAAATACCAAAGACATACAGCCTCTCCTCAATGATGGAATTCCGTTCCGAAGACCATGTTGGTAAACGAATTTGTCGCTAAGCAAGGAGCATACTATAATGGTAGTGAGTTTGTGTCAACCATCTTTGATATTTTTTAATGTCACCTCTGCACCATTTAAAATATTTTTATTATATTTTTACAAGTTTATACAGTAGTGTACTGTATATTGTAATAAACAGAATAGAGGAAATCAGCTCTAGTATACACTATTTAGGTATGCATACTGATCAGAGAGCCCGTCATAAGTCCAAGTCGTCAGTAAATGAGTACGTCGCTGAGTGAGGAGAGGCTGTATTTTGCTGCAACCATTTAACAGTATGTATCTACTTGTACTTACCATCTTTAATATCAAAAGTCTCAAGATAGAGATCGTCAAGTCGTATGAGAGCTAGAGCATCGTCAACATCAAAGCCATAAACAAATGCCTGAATAAAGTCAGCTGCCTTCTGGATGCTGTTTGGATCATCAGTCTCATTACCAGTCTGTTGGCATTAGAATAAGTTTTTATTAGAAGGAAGATTATTTACAATTTTTTTTTTTTAACAAGTCAGCTGTCTCCCACCGAAGCAGGGTGACCCAAAAAGAAAGAAAATTCCCAAAAAGAAAATACTTTCACCATCATTCAACACTTTCACCTCACTCACACATAATCACTGTTTTTGCAAAGGTGCTCAGAATACAACAGTGTAGAAGCATACACGTATAAAGATACACAACATATTCCTCCAAACTGCCAATATCCCAAACCCCTCCCTTGAAGTGCAGGCACTGTACTTCCCATTTCCAGGACTCAAGTCTGCCTATACAAAAAATTTTATTCAGTACTATTTATTCTTAGGTAGTTATTGCAAGTACATGTTTCAAGTGAACTCTGGTGATCTAATTAGTGAATGGCACATCAATACAACAATGACTGTGGCTTACAGTATTTTGATGAAAATTCAAACTACAAAGTACAGTGGACCCCTGGTTTTCGGCCGTAATCCATTCCAGAAGGTCGGCCGATAACCAAAATGGCCGATAACTGAATTAATATTTCCCATTAGAATTAATGGAAATACAGTGGTCCCTCGTTTTTCATAGTTTATCTGTTCCTGGAGTTGCTACTATTATCGAAATAACAAGATATAATGTAACTACAATTAATCCGCTCCTGACACCCAGAAGTATTAAAACAAAAAATTTTTTTTACATGAAATATAGATGTAGTACATAAACAATACAATGGGAAATGATGAATGAAACATTAACAGCATAACACTTACCTTTATTGGAGATTCTTCTTAGTGTATGGGAGACTGGAGGAGGAGAGAGATTGGATTGTTTACAGTTTGGAAGGGGAATCCCCTTCCAGCAACACCTCAGGTACCAATTGCTTTTCTGGGGTTGCTTCTCTTCTCTGTTTCTTAACGCCACTAGGACCACCTTGAGAGTCACTAGAGTCCTGTCTCGCAAAATAACTGTGGAGAGAGCTCTGTTTCTGGCGTCTCTTTAACACTTCCCTAAAATGGCCCAAGACTTTGTCACTGTACATGTTGCCAACATGGCTTGCAACAACCTTGCCAGGGTGATGTTTCTCCATAAAACTTTCCATCTTACCCCACATAGCAAAAATCTCTTTAATTTCTGAAGAAGGCACCTTCTTCCATCTCTCTTCCTCCTCCTCTGCAGCAAGATTCTGAGCTGTGATCTGTTGCTGTTCCTGCTGAAGCTCTTGCAGCTCCTCAGTGGTCAGCTCTTCGTTGTGGTCTTCCACCAACTCTTCCACATCCTCCAAACTCACATCCAACCCCATGGAACTCCCCAGTGCCACAATTGATTTAACAACAGATATAGGCTCATCAGGGTCAATCCCAAACCCTTCAAAATCCCTCTTGTCGACACAATCTGGCCACAATTTTCTCAAAGCAGAGTTTAAAGTCCTGGTAGTCACTCCCTCCCAAGCCATACCTATAAGGGATGCTGAAGTGTTTTCTCCAAAATTCCCTTAGGGTCAAGTGAGTGTCTGTGGTCACAGTCAAGCACCTGTGAAACATTGCTTCAATGATGTTTTTCTTAAATTCAATCGTATTTCTCACCTTCTTTACCACAGGCTTGGCACTAGGAGCTTTCTTTGGAGCCATGGTAGCTTATTTAGTACTTGCAAGCACTAAAATGAGTGGAATATTATGAAATATTTCGTAGGAGCACGTGAGGGGACCTTCGCTCACTGGTAAACAATGCCAGACTGGCTGGGTAGGAAGGCCGCCCCGGCTCACACCGTGCGTACGCGTCCCGGACGAACTACTATTTGCGAGTCAACCTATGATTAGTGAGCCCATGTTTATACGAAAATATCCCTATGATTTCCAAAATCTATGATTCCCGAGAACTACGAAAAGCAAGGGACCACTGTACAATTAATCCGTTCCAAACAAAAAAATTCACACAAAAAAAATTATTTTTTTTTAACAATTATGTAAGTATTACATACCTTTATTGAAGGCTAATGCTGGCTTCTGGAAGACAGGGAGGAGTTAGTGCTTGGAAGGAGAATCCCTCTCCATAAATATTTTAGATAGCAAAGCCTTCTCTGGGATTACAGTGGACCCCCGCTTAACGATCACCTCCCAATGCGACCAATTATGTAAGTGTATTTATGTAAGTGCGTTTGTACGTGTATGTTTGGGGGTCTGAAATGGACTAATCTACTTCACAATATTCCTTATGGGAACAAATTCGGTCAGTACTGGCACCTGAACATACTTCTGGAATGAAAAAATATCGTTAACCGGGGGTCCACTGTACTTCCCTTCTGTCCTTTACTGCCACTAGGACCAGCTTGAGAGTCACTAGACCCCTGTCTCACAAAATAACTGTACAGAGTGCTCTGTTTCTGGCATCTCTTTAAGATTTCCCTGAAGTGGGACAGGGTTTTGTCATTAAACATGTTGCAGATATGGCTTGTTTCAGCTTCGTCAGGGTGGTGTGTTTCTCTACAAAAGCTTGCACCCTAGTCCACATTGCACACCTCTGAAGAAGGCACCTCCTTCACTCCCTCTTCCCCCTCCTCTGAAGCAAGTTCCTCAGCTGCAGTCTGTTGCTGCTTGAGATGAAGCTCTTGCAGCTCTTCAGTGGTTAGCTCTTCCCTGTGGTCCTCCACCAACTCTTCCACATCCTCGCCACTCACCTCCAACCCCAAGGACTTCCCCAGTGCCACAATAGAGTCCACAGGGTCAGCAGGGTCAGGGTCAGCCTCAAACCCTTCAAAATCTCTCAGTTTTCTCCTAGCAGAGTTCAAATTCCTGGAAGTCATTCCCTCCCAAGCCTTACCTATAAGGCTTATGCAATGGAGGATAGTGAAGTGATTCCTCCAGAACTGTCTTAGGGTCAAGTGAGTGTCTGAGGTCACTTCAAAGCACTTTTGAAACACTGCTTTTGTGTAGTTTTTTGAAGTTAGAAATGGCCTGCTGGTCCATGGGCTGGAGGAGAGGAATGATGTTAGGAGGCAAGAACTTCACTGTGATGAAACTGAAGTCCCTAAACACTTGGTCTTGCAACTCTGGAGGATGTGCAGGAGCATTGTCCAGTACCAGGAGGCACTTGAGTGGCAATTTCTTTTCCAGGAGGTATTTTTTCACACTTGAGCCAAACACATCATTAAACCACTCTTTGAAAATTTGCCTTGTGACCCATGCCTTATGATTAGCTTTCCACATCACACACAATATATTCTTCATGACATTGTTTTTCTTGAACACTCTGGGATTTTCAGAGTGATACACAAGTAAAGGCTTTACTTTGAAATCTCCACTAGCATTACCATACAACAAAAGAGTAAGCCTGTCTTTCATAGACTTGTGTCCTGGCAGTGCCTTTTCCTCCTGGGTAATGTAGGTCCTGCTTGGCATTTTCTTCCAAAACAGGCCTGTTTCATCACAACTGAACACTTGTTGGGGTTTGAATCCTTCAGCCTTTACATAGTCCTGGAATTCATGAACATACTTTCCAGCTGCACATTTGTCAGAACTTGCAGCCTCACCATACCTTACAACACTGTGTATGCCACTACGCTTCTTAAATCTATCAAGTCATCCTTTGTTGGCCCTAAATTCACAAACTGCAGCACTTGTTCCAGTCATTTTCTTTGCAAGATCCTCATGCAACTGCTTTGCCTTCTCACAAATAATCAACTCCACAACACTGTCTCCCACTAATTCTTTTTCCTTAATCCACAATAATAATAACTTTTCCATCTCTTCCATTATTGGTGGCCTTTGTTTAGTTAGAAAAGTTACTCCTTTTGCAATATTAGCATCTTTGATTTGTTCTTTCTTTGCCAGGATGGATGTAATTGTTGATTTATTCTTGCTGTACATCCTGGCAAGTTCCATTGCCTTTATACCACTCTCAAACTTTTCTATCACTTCATACTTAAATTCCATGGTGTTTCTCACTTTCTTTACCACAGGAACTTTACTAGGAGCTTTCTTTGGAGCCATCTTTCCTTATTTCACAGTTGCACTGCAAGAAAAACCACTAAAAAAATGGTAAACAAGTGAAATATTTGGATGTATGAGCAGAAGCTTCCTCAGCCACCGAGAGACAAAGCCAAACTGAAGCGCAAGCTGCCCCAGCCGGCGGATGGCTGCGTCCAAAACGGCCGATAACTGGGTGCTGAAAAACCCGCCGATAACCAAACCGGCCGATAACTGGGAGTCCATTGTATAGTAAAAAGTTAGGGAAAATCTATTCAACAGTAATGGCAAGGCAACTGGATTTTTTTTAAACACATGCATCACAATTCATTTAATTATTTTTCCAGAAGTCTGCTGACATCAGTCAGATTACAGTGGTCTGCAAATTTTGAACAATTTTGTGCTTCGGAGAGAAAAAGTATAAATATTTCACCCAGGTTTTTGGGGGGCTGAAAACAGATATGATCATAGTAACAATTGATTGGTTGAAGTTTCCAAGGAAATTTATTTACACATTTTGCAGACTGGTATAGAGTGGAACCTTGGTTTTCGTGATTAATCCGTTTGAAAAAGTCGGATGAAAACTGAGTCATACAAAAACTGAAACAATATTTCCCATGAGAAATAATGCAAATCCAATTAATCCGTTCCAGACACTCGAAAATTTTATTTAATTTTTTTTTTTTTTTTTTTTATTATCACACTGGCCGATTCCCACCAAGGCAGGGTGGCCCGAAAAAGAAAAACTTTCACCATCATTCACTCCATCACTGTCTTGCCAGAAGGGTGCTTTACACTACAGTTTTTAAACTGCAACATTAACACCCCTCCTTCAGAGTGCAGGCACTGTACTTCCCATCTCCAGGACTCAAGTCCGGCCTGCCGGTTTCCCTGAATCCCTTCATAAATGTTACTTTGCTCACACTCCAACAGCACGTCAAGTATTAAAAACCATTTGTCTCCATTCACTCCTATCAAACACGCTCATGCATGCCTGCTGGAAGTCCAAGCCCCTCGCACACAAAACCTCCTTTACCCCCTCCCTCCAACCTTTCCTAGGCCGACCCCTACCCCGCCTTCCTTCCACTACAGACTGATACACTCTTGAAGTCATTCTGTTTCGCTCCATTCTCTCTACATGTCCGAACCACCTCAACAACCCTTCCTCAGCCCTCTGGACAACAGTTTTGGTAAACCCGCACCTCCTCCTAACTTCCAAACTACGAATTCTCTGCATTATATTCACACCACACATTGCCCTCAGACATGACATCTCCACTGCCTCCAGCCTTCTCCTCGCTGCAACATTCATCACCCACGCTTCACACCCATATAAGAGCGTTGGTAAAACTATACTCTCATATATTCCCCTCTTTGCCTCCAAGGACAAAGTTCTTTGTCTCCACAGACTCCTAAGTGCACCACTCACTCTTTTTCCCTCATCAATTCTATGATTCACCTCATCTTTCATAGACCCATCCGCTGACACGTCCACTCCCAAATATCTGAATACGTTCACCTCCTCCATACTCTCTCCCTCCAATCTGATATCCAATCTTTCATCACCTAATCTTTTTGTTATCCTCATAACCTTACTCTTTCCTGTATTCACCTTTAATTTTCTTCTTTTGCACACCCTACCAAATTCATCCACCAATCTCTGCAACTTCTCTTCAGAATCTCCCAAGAGCACAGTGTCATCAGCAAAGAGCAGCTGTGACAACTCCCACTTTGTGTGTGATTCTTTATCTTTTAACTCCACGCCTCTTGCCAAGACCCTCGCATTTACTCTCTTACAACCCCATCTATAAATATATTAAACAACCACGGTGACATCACACATCCTTGTCTAAGGCCTACTTTTACTGGGAAAAAATTTCCCTCTTTCCTACATACTCTAACTTGAGCCTCACATCCTCGTAAAAACTCTTCACTGCTTTCAGTAACCTACCTCCTACACCATACACTTGCAACATCTGCCACATTGCCCCCCTATCCACCCTGTCATACGCCTTTTCCAAATCCATAAATGCCACAAAGACCTCTTAGCCTTATTTAAATACTGTTCACTTATATTTTTTCACTGTAAACACCTGGTCCAAAACACCCCCTACCTTTCCTAAAGCCTCCTTGTTCATCTGCTATCCTATTCTCCGTCTTACTCTTAATTCTTTCAATTATAACTCTACCATACACTTTACCAGGTATACTCAACAGACTTATCCCCTAAAATTTTTGTGCACTCTCTTTATCCCCTTTGCCTTTATACAAAGGAACTATGCGTGCTCTCTGCCAATCCCTAGATACCTTACCCTCTTCCATACATTTATTAAATAATTGCACCAACCACACAAAACTATATCCCCACCTGCTTTTAACATTTCTATCTTTATCCCATCAATCCCGGCTGCCTTACCCCCTTTCATTTTACCTACTGCCTCACGAACTCCCCCCACACTCACAACTGGCTCTTCCTCACTCCTACAAGATGTTATTCCCCTTGCCCTATACACGAAATCACAGCTTCCCATCTTCATCAACATTTAACAATTCCTCAAAATATTCCCTCCATCTTCCCAATACCTCTAACTCTCCATTTAATAACTCTCCTCTCCTATTTTTAACTGACAAATCCATTTGTTCTCTAGGCTTTCTTAACTTGTTAATCTCACTCCAAAACTTTTTCTTATTTTCAACAAAATTTGTTGATTAACATCTCACCCCACTCTCTCATTTGCTCTCTTTTACATTGCTTCAACCACTCTCTTAACCTCTCTCTTTTTCTCCATATACTCTTCCCTCCTTGCATCACTTCTACTTTGTAAAAACTTCTCATATGCTAACTTTTTCTCCCTTACTACTCTCTTTACATCATCATTCCACCAATCGCTCCTCTTCCCTCCTGCACCCACTTTCCTGTAACCACAAACTTCTGCGGGACGCTCTAAACACTACTTTTTTTAAACCTACCCCATACCTCTTCGACCCCATTGCCTATGCTCTCATTAGCCCATCTATCCTCCAATAGCTGTTTATATCTTACCCTAACTGCCTCCTCTTTTAGTTTATAAACCTTCACCTCTCTCTTCCCTGATGCTTCTATTCTCCTTGTATCCCATCTACCTTTTACTCTCAGTGTAGCTACAACTAGAAAGTGATCTGATATATCTGTGGCCCCTCTATAAACATGTACATCCTGAAGTCTACTCAACAGTCTTTTATCTACCAATACATAATCCAACAAACTAGTGTCATTTCGCCCTACATCATATCTTGTAACAATATTAACAAAATATTAACAAAAAATACATTTTGTAGAGAATAACTATAGTTTTACATACAGAAAACAATGAGAAATAAATATAAATGACTAATGAAATGGACAAATGAGCATTTAACATCACTTTTACCTTTATTGAAGACTCTCATTGGCGCATGCAAGACGGCGAGGAAGGAAGAGGGAGGAGAAGTTATTGCTTGGAAGCGGAATCCCCCTCCATAAGGACTTCAGGTATCAAAGCCCTATCCGGGGTTACTTCCCTTCTTTGTCTTTTACTGGCACTAGGACCAGCTTGAGAGTCACTGGACCCCTGTCGCACAAAAAGTCTGTCCAGAGAGGCCTGTTTCTGGCGTCTCTTAGATTTGCCTAAAATGGGCATGTTGCTGACACAGCTTGCAACAGCTTTGTTAGGGTGATATTTCTCCACAAAACTTTGTACCTCACTCCACTTTGCACAAATGTCTTTAATTGCAGAAGGCGGCACATTCTCCCCTTTTTCTTCCTCCTCCTCTGAAGCAATTTCCTCAGGCAAGGTCTGTTGCTATTCCAGATGAAGGTCTTGCAGCTCTTAAGTGGTTAGCTCTTCCTTGTGGTCATCCACCAACTCTTCCATATCCTGGCCACTCACCTCCAACCCCATGGACTTTCCCAAAGACACAACAGATTCCACAATAGGCAGAGGGTCATCAGGGTCAGTCTCAAACCCTCCAAAATCCTTCTGGAGGACACATTTTGTTACGCTAAATGAGCAACAAAAGCAGACCGAGTCACGAAAGTATGAGCGGCCACCGCCAGGCAGATGCATCTGGTACAGACGGTTTCAGAGTGGATGTATGAAAACGGGGAAAATTATGCCGAAAAAGTGGTCGAAAACTGAACCGTATGATAACCGGACCGGCGGAAAACCAGGGTTCCACTGTATCATTGTCTTTACAAAGGTGCCCAGATATGACAGTTTAGATGTCACTCCAAACAGCCAATATCCCAAACCCCTACTTTAGAGTGCAGGCATTGTACTTCCCACCTCCAGGACTCAAGTCCAGTTAACCAGTTTTCCTGAATCCCTTCACAAAATATTACCCTGCTCACACTCGAACAGCTCATCAGGTCCTAAAAGCCATTCGTCTCCATTCACTCCTAACACGCTCACACATCTGATGCATGTCCTGGCCCAGTATACACAAAACCTCTTTTACCCCCCTCCCTCCACCCTTTCCTAAGACGACCCCTAACCATGGAGTTCAGTGAACCCTGAAGCAATAAAAAAATCAGAGGGCATTTGAGGTTTTTAACACTGGCTAACTCCCACGTAGGTAGAGTGATAATGAAAAAAAAATAGAGGAATCACATTCCCATGTTACTATGGCTGATCTGTACAATTAAATATTCAACATATTATTTACTTGCTACTCTACTTTTATAACACATTAGTTGTCACATCTTCAATAAAAAATGCATTTAGTGGATTGATCAATATGCTGGAATGATGCTGTAAGACTTCTCATACAGTGAAAATTAGCTAGTACAACCAAGACATATTCACTTACCCTAATTTCTACATTTCTGGTCTTCAGGTTAAACCTGACTTGAAGCTTTAAGTGTTCAACAATGGGAGAATATATCTTTTCCCAGTTTGCTTTTAAAGGGGTGTACCTGTAAAAAAAATATTAATTATTCTACCATTAAATACATTTTCCTTGCTTGGTAAAGCATACCCATCCTCCCTGGCAAGAACAGCAATACTTCTTAGTTAAAAATTTAGGTTTCAGAAAATGCCTCTGTCCTGAAATGTTAAAATGTGCAATAATCACATTTTAGCACTTTTTTTTCCTATATATTGTAATATTTTACATATTTAAAAAAAAAAATGAGAAATGGTACAGTATTAGATTTCAATAGGTATATACATAGCCTCTCCTCACTTAACGACGAGGTTCCGTTCCTGAGACGTCATTAAACAAATTCGTCGCTAAGTGAGGAACATATTATAATGGTAGTGAGTTTGTCAGCCATCTTTGATATTGTTTTAATGTCACCTTTGCACCCTTTATAACATTTCTAGTATATTTTTAAATGTTTATACAGTCGTGTACTGTACACCTACCATCCGACTTACGACCGAGCTTGGTTCCGACCAACCGGTTGTAAGTCAAAATGGACATCAGTAGAACTTTACTACTGAATATCAACATCACATTTTTGTAATAACTTTTATTGTTTTATTTTGGTATTTCATTTTTTACTTTACTTTTTATGCTGTTAGTACTGTATTTTATACTGTAAAGTTTAGGATAATACTGTGTACAACACAAACAGTTGTTTATTTCCCAGAAATTTGGCATAAAAAACACGGTCGTAAGTCGAGTGGTCGTATGTCAAGCAGGTCGTAAGTCGGATGGTAGGTGTATATTGAAATAAACAGTATAAAAGGAAATCAGCTCTAGTATACATTATTTAGGTACGAATACTGGTCAGAGAGCCTGTCGTAAGTCTGAGGCATCGGTAAACGAGTACGTCGCTAAGTGAGGAGAGGCTGTATTATAATGAATTACACTATTTCAGAATAAAAGATTTTGTGATTATGTATGCAATATAACATACCTATTGTTTGGAACAGGTATCTTTCTCATCTCTACTCGAGTCACTTTCTCCTTTTTGGCTGGAGGGAAAACTGGCCGAGCCACTGCATCATCCTGAGTGTTTTTTAATTACAAATATACACAGTATAAAAAAAGATAAATATTAAATGCTCAATTTACATTCAAAATGATCAGGTATAAATAATATATCAATTATCTGGCAATCACTCATTCAGTGAGTCACATCGAAGATCTTTCTCATACACAGCACTAAAACAGATATGTACTGCAAAAAATTTGCACTCAAAAAGTACTGTACCATAAAAATAGTAATACTCTAGCCTTTTTTTTTTTACATCCAGTACAACCTCCCCTTAATTGTACTGGATAACTGATGGTCTACTGTGTTTAACTTATAAGATATAAATACTCTTCTGCATTTTTTTTTTTTTAACTTTTTTGCCATACCTCACCATAGCAAAATGACCCAAAATAAAAATACATTTGCCAATATTCACTTTGAGTGCTTCTCTAAATCGGCACAGACACTTAGTTCAATGTTGATCCATTGAGCCTCAATATCCCCTGCCTCTCAACCCTTCTTTCACACCCATTTTTCCTTGGATGCTTCCTACACCTCCAGGTATCCAACTCAGATTTATGAACCCTCTTTATGAACTTATCTTGCTACAGTCTTTATGAATGTTCAAACCATTTCATCATTCTTTCTTCAAGTCTTTTGATTTTCTCTTTCATAAAAATGTCCTTTCATGTTCTCTAAAAAATGTTCACTCCATACATTAATCTCTGATGATACAATTTCATTTTAAGAGTATGTTTCACATTCATACCAGTGTCAGCACATACACAGTACATACTCTGATGCATTCCCATTTTTGCATCCAGTGACAAATTTTCTTCTTTCCACAGAGAAATAAGCCTTATTATTATTATTATTATTATTATATTATTATTATATTATTATTATTATTATAGTTATTATTATATGCATTCATGGAGAAGTGCTACAACCATAAGGGTCATATAGTGCTCAAGGACTGGGAGGTAATCATGAGTACTCCAAAGAGAAGGGTAGGTCCGATTCCTTAGATAAAGAGTCCCTCGGGATGATGTTACAAGTCCTACTCTCAAGAATGGCTGGTACAGAATGTAGCCCTTTAGCATCTTCATCAATGATATCTTTGCAGATTTTGAAAGTTTCTTCACTTATTCAAAAAGACTGACATAAGCAAATTAATGAATCATGCTAAGGACCTACATGAAATATTGTATTCATATGATGCACTAAACTCATAGGGGTTATACCGAGTCTTGAAAATGGAGGGGTAGGGGATTAATCAAATAAGATCCAAGGTAGGGGAGAGTAGCTCCAATTCAATGGATGAAGAGCAGCATCAAGGCACCCCCCTTGAGGAGATGTGGTTATGGGTTGATTGTGGAATTAATATTCTTGTCCATCAAACTCTCAAATAGGACAAAAAGTCAGAATACTGTAGCTGGAACAATACACAAATAACCTGCACTTAGGAGAGGGAAAGTAATGACAATGTTTTGGTCCAACTTGGACCACTAATACGTCCTTTCTTGCTTCAATGTGATTCGTCAAAGGTCCAAGTTGGACTGAAACATCATTACTTACCCTTTGCTAAGTGTGGGTTATTTGTGTATTATCAAACTCTCACAAGCCTAGATATTATACGTGTAGTGTTGAACTTAAGGTGATAAGTGATGAGGAATCCATAGATGAAAATGGAAATACTGCATTGCACTCCAAAACATTTCTTCAATGCTTAAACCTTACCTTATTCTAGAGCTCACATTCACATTATCTAAAAACAAAACAAAAGCAAAACAAAATTGTAATTACACTGTAACCTTTACAAAGAAATAAACCTTTATCTTATCTTATCTAACATGATTAATAAATACAGTGGACCCCCAGTTTTCATAATTAAACAATTCCAGAGAGAGTGACTAAACCCGAATCTGACTAATTCCAAATTAATTTTCCCCATAAGAAATAATGGAAATCCAATTAATCTGTTTCAGACACCCAAAAGTATTAAAAAATGTTTTCTACATGAAATACACATTTACTTACACAGAAAACAATGATACATGAAGAATAAAACAACAATAACATCACACTTACTTTTATTGAAGACGTGGTGATGTACGGAAGATGGGAGGAGGGGAGAGGATGGAGGAGTTTACAATTGTTTGGAAGGGGAATCCCCTTCTATAAAGACTTCAGGTACCAAGTCCTTATCCTGGGTTACTTCCCTTCTTTGTTTTTTAATGCCACTAGGACCAGCTTGAGAGTCACTGGACCCCTGTCGCTCAAAAAAGTGTTCCAGAGAGGTCTGTTTCTGGCATATGTTAGGAATTGTGTTGGGAGACAGGACAAGATAGTCCTTCAATGTGAAACTAATATCAGCTCTACGGTTTATTATCTAGCACAGTTCATCTAAAATGACATAATAAACAATATTAATAACATAGAAACACGATATATACTCTAGAATGAATAAAATATGGCATTAAGAATGTCACGAGTAGTGGTGTGTTGTTTGTTGTTGGGTGTATAAAAGTGGTGGTGAAGGCAGCAGCAAGAGGCAGCAGAGGTGGCAGTGTTGGTCAGCAGCCCTATATACCTCCAACAACAATAGAGGAGTCAGTTTTGTGCTGTCCTTTTTCTATCGATTAATTGCTTAACTTACTTGCTACACTGTTAATGCTACACTTTATCGCTGCCTGGCGCTATAGCCTTTATCAACTGCTGCTTTAGTATCGCACATATTGCAGAATCACTGAAAAAGGCACATTCTCCCCCCTCTCTCAGCCCTTTACCAAAGGGTTGACTGGCACTAGGAACTTTCTTTGGACCCATGGTGGCTTATTTAGCAGTTGCAAGCACTAAAAGGAATGGAATAATAAAAAATATATCGTATGAACACATGGGATCGTCTTCACTGGTTGATAAACAATGGCACACTGGCTGTGCATGGAGTGTCAGGGCCGCTAAGGCCGTGCGAACACATTCCAGACGAATGACTTATACCGAGTTCAGTGACGATCACCAAGCCAATATTTTGACAAAAAACGTTACTTATTCCGAATATTATGTATTCTGATGATGACGTAATCCAGGGGTCCACTGTACTAAACTTGGTTACGAAAGTCCAACTTTGTCTTTTGCACTGTTTTGGTCATATATATACGTCTTATGAGCTAGTGTTTTTGACGTATTTATACTCCAAAATTCTAGCGGCTTCAAAACAAGGAGAAAGCTGGTAGGCCCACATGTGAGAGAATGAGTCTGTGTGGTCAGTGTGCATAGTATATAAAAAAAAAATCCTGCAGCACACAGTGCATAATGAGAAAAAAACTCTGACTGTGTTTTCTTGGATTAAAATGCCGAATTTAAGGTGCATTTTTGTATAGTATTTATAGTTGTATTCTCATTTTTTTTATCTCATTTGATAGAATGTAAGACATATTATAGAAATAGAGATGATTTTGATTGGTTTCATGATGAAAAGGACCTTGAAATTGAGCTCAAAATAGCGGAAATGTTCAATTTTTGCCGATGTTCAAGAGTAAACAAATGATGTCATTATCCAGTAAGTACCCAATTAGCCATTCTAATATGCAGTCACGAATGGGTTGACATTATTTATACAATTATTACAATAATGCAGTAGTCTGCATAACAGTAAATCTTCTATTTTTTGTGTGAAAAAAAATTCAAGACAGAAAGCAAGAGTAATATAAAAGTGGCCTAGAGACATGACTGATGAACAGAGAAAATGTTATTTTAGTGCCAGGTATGTCTGCATTGTTCATTCTGGATCCTAATTTGAAATTGGCATCTTTTTAATTTGTGTGCAACTGGCCAAATTGCCAATTTTTGACCACTTTATTGGGTAGCTGAAATCGGTAAATGGAGTTCTAAAGAAATAGCTATGAGTTTCGTCGACTGGAACAATGGAACTGGCCGAAAACAGGGCTCAAAGTGGGCAAAATTGCCGATGCGTAAATATCGCTGAGATCGCTAACTTTGCGAGAGCATAATTCCGTAAGTTTTCCATTAAATTTTGTACTTTTGGTGTCATTACCATCAGGAAAAGATTCTCTATCATTTCATAAGAAAAATAAATTTTTTATTTAAATAGTACTTCAACACTGAGAGCAAGTTTGTGAGCAGGGGCCTCGACAGTCAAATTCAAATTCATAGTTTATTCTCTATAAAGATTACAATGTTGAATTTACAGAATTTGGTTGTTGTGTGGTTTACATGAAGTTAAATAATGATTACAGAGTGTACCACTAGAACGCCTAGCATGGCTAGGCATTTCGGGCAGACTTAGTTTAATTCTTTATTTTAAAATATTACAGAATACAAGGTAAGTTGGTATTACGGCTAAGTGACTAAATACTAGTTTGTGAGTTTAGCAATGTGAATGCTTTTGTTTTGGCACAGTACATAGTTTCAGTATTGGAGTATCATAGGATTCATTATTTTAAGATTGAGATTAATATTTCTGTTTATGGTCAAATGGGTGAGTGAGTGTAAGTGTGAACCACCAGGTGGTATTCGTGTAGTTAGTTGATGGGGTTTATCAGGGAGATAAGATGTTTTCTAATGGTAGTTTTGAAGGTGATGAATGTGTCTGCAGTTCTAGAGTTCTCAGGTAGGGTGTTCCAGATTTTAGGGCCTTTGACATACATTGAATTTTTGTAAAGGTTTAGTCGGACATGGGGAATGTCGTAGAGATGTTTGTGTCTGGTGTTATGCCTGTGGGTTCTGTCACAACTATCAAGAAAGCGTTTTAGGTCAAGGTTGATATTGGAGTTGAAGGTCCTGTAGATGTTGATTGCACAGTAGTAAGTGTGGATGTACTGAACAGGGAGTAAGTTTAGATCTATGAAGAGTGGGGGGGGTGTTGCCAGGGATGGGATTTAGTGATTATTCTTACTGCAGCTTTTTGTTGGGTTATTATTGGCTTTAGGTGTGTTGCTGCAGTTGATCCCCAAGCACAAATAGCATAGGTGAGGTATGAATAAATAAGTGAGTGGTATAGTGTGAGAAG